GGGGACCCTCCGCGCCGGGTGCGCCGGGCGGCCGGCACCGCTGCGCCGCTCCCCGGGGCTCTGTGAGCCGCAGGCACCGTCCCGCGTACCTCCCCCCCCTCCCCGGGGTCCTTCACCGCAGCCCAGCTGCTGCCGGGCCGGAGCCGGGCTTTCAGCCGGGGGTCAAACGAGATTAAATTTGAGCCAGCAGCCAAAGGACAAACTCCAGTGCCTACAGGAAGCCTTGGTGAATGTTTAGTACGCTGAGAGAAGTTTCCAAACCTTCCCATGAAAATGTTTTAGGGGTGCCACTCAACCTCTCTCCTCCTCTTTCTCTAACGACACTTTAAAAATAGAGAGTGCTATTTCAGCCCTAAAAAGAGCTATACTATTTAAGAGTTGATTTAATTATAGCTCTAGTGTTTTCAGCGTAGATTTGTGAACTGCTTTCAAGACTTTCCTTCTGTGGTTAAATGCTAAGCTTTTAGCTGTGGTTTGGCATATGCACGCTGCAGGGAAAACCCGCCAACGCCTTAAATAAACAGCTCTTTAGGGGTACAGCGTGGGGTGATTGCCACTTTGGGAAATCCAACTGACTGGTGGCTCCACATGCTTCTTCAAGTCACGCAACCACCACATAGGTCCACATATTCTACCGCTATTAAGTGATGAAATTATCTGGAGAAAGAAATTGTTCACAGTTCGCTTCTCTAGTGCTGTAACTTCCGTATACTTTCTTGCAACTTTTGGACAATTGCACAGCGTTAAGTAGCAACTGACTGGCCAATTTTCTTCTTAAAAACAGAAGCGTCCCTGCTGTGTAGAGATGTTTCTCACAGCATTACAGAGGCTCTACTAGTTGCTGCCTCCTTTCCTCCAGATGACGTCATGCCCTGGTTTCCTGGGGCACCTGAAGTCTGCGGGATGGAATCTGAACTCATTTGGTCTGTTTGTTTCCTCAGATGGCTGGAAAGTGAATGAACCTGTATTTTCTTCCGTGATGGCTATGCTCCACTATCCCCATGCTCCCATATGTGACTTGAATTAAAACAGCTGTGTGGTATCATTTTGATTCCCTTGGATAACTGCTCTCTGCACTGCCTACCCCATCCCTGGGGAATCCCTAGTGGCATCTGGAGTTTTGCCTCCACTCCTCCTTTCATATCCCCTTAGCAATGCTTCCCCCCTCCGCTAGCCTGTGCCAACAGCCTGGCTGGGTTTCAGTTCGAAGCCAAGACAGATTTAGGCATCTGCAAGTAGATGCCTATGTGTGCTCAAGCTTGCTTAAATTTTCATTGTGGCCAATGGAAATCTTGTCTGGACAGTCACTGGCACTTAGGGAGTGATCTGGTCACCCTAAAGTAGACACACGGGCTGGGATTCACTACCTAAACAAAGGTGCCCATGCTGCTCGGTGGTCTCTGGGTCTCCCTCTGGAAAGGACAATCTTGTGTATGTCTTATGTTGTATCTGCCAGCCTCACATGGCTGTCTTGGATGTCTGGATGTCTCTTTTTGGGCAACTGAGTGTCACGAGCCATGGGTGGTCTGCTGGATGACTAGATCTTCACTGACTTTAGGAGTTTAAACAGTTCATCACAAGTAGAAAGTAAAGACCAGTCCTGAGTTCAGTCACACCCACTCCATCCTGATCCTGTGGTCCTCTTCTGAACCTGCTAGACAAACAGCAATGCCAGCATTACCAAGCAGCCCATATCTGCTAGGAAGACAGCTGTGTTAGAAACAAAGACAACTGTGGCTTCAGGATGGCCAAACTTGCATGCATGTGTGCGTCAAACACCATTTATCTCGTTGGCATCTGTCTGGCCTTGTCTTCTTTCCTCATCAGTCACTGTCCCCATACACACCATTTCTAAACAGATGCTGGTTCTGCCCACCGCAGCTCTGTGCAAACACAGAGACACAGCGAAAACCCAAAGCAAGCAGAATGTACTTGAATACACAATATTGTCTTTGGCTTGTACAGCACAGCCCTACCCTGAACTCCACAGAGCTCTGCAGGCCTGGAACGGGCAGACTTCAGTTTGATACAACACAGTGTACCAGAAACAGCCTGGGCTGTCCTGAAAAGACACAGCACCCTCATGTATCAGGGGTGGGCAATGGAGTACTCATGGGGGGCCACGACTCTTGTGCCTGCTGGCCTTGGCCATTCACAAGATGCCCCTTATCAAGTTTCTCATTCTGATTCTTCAAAGATCTCATCTTATGCAATATTCACTTACAAGGTGATCAGACACATAAACAGGAACCCTCTGGCTGTGGGAAGGGCTCTTTGACAACAGTGCCTTTATCCTGGTAAGCAGCTTCCTAGATATTAATGAAGGCAAGAAGAGGGACAATAAGTGGGACCAGCCTTGTGCTAAAAAGGCCTACTCCAGAACCATGCTGGGATGGCCAGAGCAGGGGTATCTGAGACAAGGGACATGCTACTAAAACAAGATGTCCACTAGATATCCACCTGCTCCTATCGCAGCCTCTCCAACCTACCGCTAGTGTTTTAAGGAAAAGCGTAACATTGTGAAAATGCACAGAAATACACCTGAAGCTGCTGGAACTGCAGCTAGAGAAGACAAGAGAGCACCAGAAAGCACGTGTCTAGCAAGTCTTATGAGAGAGTGCTAAAGAGAGAAAAAAAGTGCTTCATGCCTGTTAGTTGACTCCTTCCTTTCTTCCCTTCTGCTCCTCTGGAAGAAGCAATTAAAGATGTGCTTCAGGATGTCAGTGGCACATCTCATGACTGCGGAGATAGGTCTCTATTCAGCACTCGTATGTCTCAGGAAAGCTCTTCCAGAGCTTCTTTAATCGTTTTCAAAGCTGTCACACAGGACTGGTTCTGACATGGGCTAAAGTGTTGCAAACCTTGGTTGGGCAAGGGTGAATTCCACAGTCAGGCAGCAGTACCTTGAGAGAGCATGGTATTACCTTTCCTTCATTGTGGTTTCCCTCTAGGAAGCGGATTGCTCTGTATTGTTCCTCTAGGTCACTCAGCAGAGCTGTGTGGGCAACGAGTTCTTGGTCTTCCTCTGGAAGTCAGCATGGAACAAAGGATAACGATTATGCATTTGACTTTTTGGG